CAGCCGGATTTCTCATGGTTTTTTCTTCTTTTTTCTGTTACTTTTGTTTCCTATCTTTTCTCTTCCCAGCACTTTAAATTTTGTTTTCATTCTTTTTTGCATTTGTTTCTTTAGTTTTATTTATCATTTCCTTTTTCTCTGGTTTATTTTGTTTCTTTTTTGGTTTCTATTTTTTTGGTTTTCCATTTTTCCTTTTTGGCTTTTCATTCTACATTATTTTGTATGTCAACAACATTTTCCTAATACACGTTTTACATATTTCCAATAAAGTTTAACAATTTTTCCATATGTGCTCAATGTTTTTTCTATACATATTTTTAAATGCTTGATTAAAAAATTTATACAAAAGATTAATATTTTTTAATACATGGTCAACATTGTTTCTATATATTTTTTAATGCTTGATTAACAGTTTCAAATAAAAATATTAACATTTTTTGAATACATGGTCAACATTTTTCTATACAGAGTTAACATTATACAAATATTTTTTCATTTTTTCCAAGTGCATAATTAACATTTTTATATACATGATAAAATGTTTTCATCATTTTTAATTCATGGTTAACATTTTTATACATATTTCAACATTTTCCAAATGCTTGATTAACATTTTTCAAATACTTTTCGACATTTTTTCAGATGCTTTATTAACATTTTTATATACATGATAAAAAAAATTCATCATTTCTTTGAAACATGATCAACATTTTTCTATACACGTTCAACATTTTCGAAAATCTTGTTTAAAAATATTCTAATTCTTGTTCATTATTTTTTGAATACTTGTTCAGTATTTTTCAAATTTTTTTTGTAGAGTTTTTTTGTAATATATATTTGGAATATTGTAAAGTATAAGGAAAAGTACAAAAATAAAGCAAAAAAACGAAAACATAAAAAAGAGGTTAAGGTTTGCCGCGTGCGTAGGCCCGCCCATCCTGCTCGCCCCTTTGTAAGGCCAGTAACTTATTTGGGCTTCTTTGGGCTGTTCTGTCCAGTTTTCGGTGACAGTGGATAGTGTGTTTGGGTCCATTACCGAGCGCTACTCAGCGCGGTTCCTATTTTGAAAAGGACAATGTTTGCACGTCTAAAATCAATTCGCACATTTTTGAAATATTTTATAGATTTAAGAAACTCTTAAAAAATATTTTAGTGGATTTAAAATTGTTCAAATGTTTAAAAGGACATAAATTTTAGAAAATCATTCACAGATCTACATGAATGTTTTAAAATGTCCATGTATTTATAAAAAGGTATATTATTTTTCAAAAATATTAACAAATACTAGTGAGTACACGGTTTGTAGGAAAAACCAAAGTCAGAATCCCAACAAAAGAAAAGAAAAACTCCTGAATAGACGAGTCTGTGTTGCAAGCGGGCATACATAATAATCTATAGAAATTTGGATGCCATCTTTATCTGGCTAATATTAGAGGACATAGAGGTGCACCAACCCGACGTTATGTGGCCCAAAAATTCCTACTCTTGCCTTGGTCACACACAACGTCGAGTTGCTACGATGATGTGTTGGGGAACGTAGTAATTTCAGAAAAATTCCTACGCACACGCAAGATCATGGTGATGCAT